TCCCGGTCTTTTTGAGGCAGGGTCTCTCTGTAGCCCCAGCTGTCCTGCAGCTCACTTTGTAGACCAGGCTGGCCTTGAACTCACAGAGATCTGCCTGCCTCTGCCTCCCAAGTGCTGAGATTAAAGGCGTGCGCCACCAAGCCCAGCTCATGATTGTTCTTTTAAATTCAGTGTCCTGGGTTATCTCCAGGAGGTTTTCCTTGTAGAACTCTTCTACAGTATTGGTGGAGTTTTGTGGGGACATAGTGTTTTAGCTTTCCTTTTTATTCTTTCATTGTGATTCTGGCATGTGAATTTCTCTTGTTGTTTATGATTCTGATATGATAATTAAGTTGAAGTATGCTTCTGTTTGTATTATTGGGGTGCCTGGATCCTTTCTGTATTGGTTATGTAAAGCTGGTTGGTTCAGGGTTCAGGTTCTCTCAGGTTTAATTTGGAGGGAACTGATGGCTTCAGATCAGCTATTCAGGAGTACTCACAGCAGCCCAATTCAGGTTCCAGTCAGGTACACTCAGTCTTCCTATACTATGTGATGGCAGGATCTGGGTGCTCTCAGGCAGTCCACCCTCTCAGGCTGTCTGCTAGGATCTCAGCCTTAGCCTACCAAAGCCAGATCTGCCCTGGGGCCTTGGGAGCGGCCTCACTCCCAGGTAGGGAGATGGGGATAGCTCAGTTAGAGGTAGCTCACCGCCAAGTGGAGGCGGGATCCAGGACCTCTCTGGCAGTCCCCTGCATTCTCAGCCCCTCTGTCAGAGAGAAGCCAGAGGGAGGCCAGAACTCAGGACTCTCTGGCAGCCTGCTGAGATCAGAGCTGCTATACTGATGGAGGTCAGAACCCACCCTCTCTATATGTTATATTCCTAAAAAACAAACCAGGTAAGATAGTATATACTGAAGCAGTTTGGTAATTATAGAGTAAATATGTAATTGGTTACTAAGTACTTGTGCTGGGTTCTAAATTCAGGTGTCATACAGTTTAATACTATGTGGGCTTTGTATCTGCTGATAAATGTGGATGATACTGATCTCTCAGCAGACCATTAGAGATATGGTAAATAATAGTTGCAATCTGCTTTCTTATTTTTTAGGCTCTTGGCTGTTTGTTGTATAAGTTGTGCTATTTCACGTTGCCATTTGGGGAGAGCCAGGTGGCAATTTGTGATGGAAGCTTCACAATTCCTGATAACTCTCGCTATTCTCAAGACATGCACTGCCTTATTAGTAAGTATTTCAAGTTTCTAATTTCCTGTTTTTATTTCTAATTACTAGGAATGGATTGGAGGGTAAAGGGATTAGTATCTAGGAGTAAAAGATTGAACAATGCTAAAGAAATCATTTGATACTAGGTTGGAACACGAAAGCGTATATAACAGCATCTATGTAGAGAGGTGAGTCTTCTTGCTACAAGTCTAAACTTTGCTTCACACCTGAGCCAGCCACACAAGCAGAAATCATAGTTGTGCTCTAAGTGCTGTGGCACTGCTATGCTCTGTCACAATCTGTGTGGAAGCTCTGGTACCAAGAGTCCAGCTGACTCACATCAAGCGATAAGAAATTCATCTTTACAAAAGTGGAAGCCCCTCAAATAAACATGATTGCAGTTTGTCGGCTGGAATGAATGTTTATTTAAGATCATATAACTCCATGAAGCCAGGTTTTTCCTCTCATTTGGGATAATCACAAGATTTTTAGAACAAGCATCTAAACTGAGTGTTTTGTTTAGAATTCTTATGATTCTCACTTCTTTGTATCATCATAGTGTAACATCCATTAACCAGATGGTAGAATAATAAGCTTTGAGCAAGATCTTATACTAAAATGCTAAAGAAACAGTTTTTAAATCCAATATTGGTCAAGGCATTTATCATCTAAGTTTCAAAAAGCATCATAGATCATAAATCCTGAGCTACCCAGTTTGGGTCCTGGACAAGGGATGTGCTGAAAAAGCAGAAGTGAGGTGGAACATCTGAACTGTTCCAGTTCTGTATTTAACTATCTGTATTTAACTGAATTCTTAAAACCTGTAGATTGAAGTGTCCTCCTATAAGCACAAGAGCACACAGAATGGTTTCTTCAAATTAACAAAGTTTGGGAGGTTTTAAAACCACCCTTTCTGCTGTAACACCTTTTGTAAAAAATGTTATTTTTATTTTATGTGTGTGAGTGTATTGCCTGCATGTAAGTGCACTCATGTTGTGCAATACCTGTGAAGGTCAGAAGAGAGCGTTGGATCCCCTGGAACTAGAGTTATAGACGGTTGTTGATTGCCGTGTGGGGGTTGCGAACCAAACCAGTGCTCTTAATGCTGAGCCATCGCTCCAACTGCAACTGTCACAGCTCTCTTAGTGAAGGGGAGTGGAGGGTGTTTAAGGAACAGTGTGTGGCCCTTAATGATTATCATATTGTTTGCAGAGGTAAAGCTTTGTATCTGTACTAGATTTTCAGACATGTAAGTGGAAGGAAATATGAGAGAATAGCCACTTTTGGTGTTGCTGATAGCATTTTGTGTGTGGGAGGGAGTTCTTTTTAATATATGTACAGTAAATCCATTTTGGAAAAACAGCTCTTCATGAGGATCTGCAGAACTGACATCTTTCCCAGACGCTATTTGGTTTGCAAGCCCTTCAAGATTCCATTGTCGATCTAAATGCATAGACCTCAAATTTGGTCTGTTTTTGCCCCTACTCTCCTTTCTTTTTTTAACTTTCTTTCAGTGGCATTACCATTCCACTCTGAATAAATAAAATTTAAGATTTTCTTGGATTTGGCTAGTAAAAGAGGGCAGAATCAGTACGTCCCAAGCTGCCTCAGTTCTCTTGGAGTGTCTACTCTTTTCATCGGTTCTCTTGGTTCTCTTCATTGTCACCATAGTACCGTAGTATATACAAACTTTATTAGCTCATGTCCTACTACGTTGCCCTCCTCACTTCTCTCCTCTCTCTCCATTCTTTCTAGAACGTCCATGCCACAGATTATTCTGAGAAAGTGTAAACAGCGAGGCCAGATTCTTTGCATGGTGTTTAGGGTCCTTCAAATTCTGGTTCCATCCCACCTGGGCAGCCATTTTGGCACCCTGTCCTTTGGTCTCCTGTTTCTGGGCAGCAGTGTTCATTTCTGGCCTTCATCCAAGTTTGCCTTTGCTTACATTGTTCTCTGACCTAGGCTGCCCTTTTCTCTGCTCTCTGTGACTAACTTCTTTCCTGCCTCTTTTGCAAGGTAGTCCAGGGCTGTAGCCTCACAGATCTTTTCTAAATTTAGTGTCCAGGTCATTCATTTATTACTTAGGCAGTAACCTGCCTTGAGTATTTTGTTTTTATATATACTCTTGCATCTTCTCAAAGACCTTCTAAGGAATTTTCCATCTTCAGAGAGGGTGGAAGCTTAAGGACCTGGAAATAGGCAGATGATCTACAAATCACAATTAAAATATATCTGAATGTGTTACTTTATAATTTTCCTCAAACTGGAAACCAGTTTATATCTCCAACCAGAGTAATAAGTGAATTCATGAAGTTTGTTCTGTAGTGCTGGAGACAGAACCCAGAGTTTGTACTCTACCACCAAACCATATCCCTAGACTTGAGTTCATGAAATTTAGAGATTGGTTCTATTTGTCAAGAGTCATCATTTATTCAACAAGAGAGAAAGTGAGCCAAGGGAACCAGAAGCAAGACTGTGGAATCTTCTAGGTCTTAGAATAGAAAGCTGCTCACTTTCACATTGAGAGTGTGAGCACCTGATATGCCAGCCTTAGAATATGAACTTCAAGTAGCTTTGCTACAACTCAAGTATTATATTCTCTTGTTTCCTTTACTAGAAAAAGGGCTAATTTTATAAGAAATGAAACTTAAAACACAACTTGGTTTTTGTAGTAGAAAAGTTATGCTTCCTAGCTGATACAACAACTGTTAGGATATTATTAAATAAGTTCATGTATGTTTGTCTTAGGGTATATGTTGGAACCAGACCCTGACAAAAGGCCAGATATTTACCAGGTTTCTTACTTCTCATTTAAACTACTCAAGAAAGAATGCCCAATTCCAAATGTACAGGTATGTCAATGGTACTTTTTAAAATTTATAATTCTTTTTAAAAATAATTTTTTATTCTTTGAGAATTTCATACATGTACACAATGTATTGTAGTCATATCTACTCCTCATTCTCCCTTCCAACTCCCCCAGACCTGCTTAATTCATCCCTTCCCAAGTTCATGTCTTCCTCTTCTTTCCTCTTTTTTATAACCAATAAGTCCAGTTAGGACCGCACAAATGTTGGACCATCCCCTGGAGCATGCGTAACCTACCTGTGGCCACATCCTCAAAGAAAACAACTCTCCCCAACAGCTGTCAACTGCCAGTAAGCTCCTTAGCTAGGTGTGGGACCTCTTGAGTCTCTCCTCCATGCTGTAATTTTGAGTGGCTTCATCTTGTGCATGTAGCCACAGCTACTGTGAGTTCATGAAAATGGCATTTTTAAAGGAAAATAAACATCAAATTGACATTTTGAGGTCCTAGAAGTGTTAATTTCTGGATTAAATGAATATCAATGTCCCTTGCTTTACCTACTAGGGGGCATTCAAGCAAAGCTAACAACTATGAAGCTGTTACTATAAAGGGAATCCAATTTTCCCATGGAATGCAATTATGGAACCAAGGTAATTACACTGAACAACAATAACAATGACAAAATGCCTAGGGATTGAGCTCTGGGTAGAGTAATCAGACTTCTGTCTGTGGACTTGTGCAGCTCACTGACAGCACTGTGTCTGTTTTTTTCCCTGAAGTGTTCAGATGCCCTGGCTTTCCTGAGGCAAAGTCCTACCACCCTGCTACTGCAGTGGTCACTCTCCCTGGCCTCCTCCTTGAGCACACCATTCTTGATTGTGCTTCTGCAGCTGGCCATCTATAACCTACACTTGTTATTTCCTGCCCGCCCCTTCTCACATGTCGGACCATGAGAACTTTCTGTACTCAGCATTCATTGTAAAGTACTTGACAAACACTTTTGTTACATGCAATCTTGGGATATTTTTCATGACTATTTTCATGGCCAAATCTAAAAAAAAAAAAAATGGGGGCGGGTAGTTTCTCCAAGAATGAATATTGGATGCCATTATTAGATCTCAAGGGTGATTTGTTTTATTTTGTTATTTGGGTCGTTTTGTTTTGTTAATTAAGACAGGATCTCACGGTTGTAGCTCCAGTTGGCCTGGAACTTGCTATATACACCAGGCTGGCCTGGAACTCCTAGAGATCTGCCTGCCTCCACCTCCAGAGTTCTGGGGTTAAAGTTGTGTACCACCACACCCAGCTTAAGGGTGCTTTTAAATAGTACTGATCAGTCACTGCCATATTCAGAATCACTGTGGGACTCGTATGGTAGGTAACACTCAGAATATTGGTCTTATTACTACTATAAACAAGAGGACATAGCTTGACCAGTCAGTTTTCCTAACACAGGTTTTCTAACATGTCTGAGCTAGAAATACTTGATGTCTGAGCCAGTGAGCTTACTTTTTTTCTGCCAGTCTTTTTTAAAAAGCATATGTTATTTTTCATATTATGTATCAGTCATATCAGTCAGCTTCATTGTTCTTCTCCCTCAAGAGAGAAATGTTTGAATAGTGGGAAAAAAAGCTAATAATTTTCTAGCAGAAATTTCCCCTTCCTAGAAAGACAAGGGAATGAGAGAATCCTCTTTAAAAGTCAGTGTTAGCAGCAATATTTTTGTCAGGTCCCCAGATTGAAAGGGTTCTGGTACAGTAACTTTACATGATTATGCTTTGTTTAGCAGCTCCACTTGGCTGTTCATAAAGTAAATGGCGCCAGGCGTGGTGGCGCACACCTTTAATCCCAGCATTTGGGAGGCAGAGGCAGATGGATCTCTGTGAGTTCAAGGCCAGCCTGGTCTACCTAGTGAGTTCCAGGACAGCTGGGACTACAGGGAGACCCTGTCTCAAAAAGACCCCCCCCCAAAAAAAAAATAATAATAAAGTAAATGGCATGAAATATAATTGGAAGCATCTGGAATGGAGCAAACTACACATCCCTTGTCATTTGGTACTAGCTCAGGAGGGTGAGCCATTGCCTGGTTGTTTTGAATAGCTAGCTGATGCTTCTGCAGGAAGCAGTGTTAGAAGGCACAGAATCCAAGCTATAAGAGTTTTGCTTGGCTTGGTGGTAAGGAATGCTGGCTCAGCACCCAGACGCACTGGCAGCTGTGTTCTTCCAGCATTCTTACTGGAAGACTAAGTACATCCTGATTGACATCCGAGTCAGGTCTCATGTCTCTAAGATATTGGTGAGAGCCTCGTGACATAATTTCCTCCTTTTATCACATCCCTTCTAAGTTCTGTAATGGGGAGAAGGGAACAGAGGTCCAGCTCTAGAGAGCTCAGCCTGGTGCAGAAATGGGGGAGTGATGGGGAAGAATGTTTCTCTCTCTCTCTCTCTCTCTCTCTCTCTCTCTCTCTCTCTCTCTCTGTCTCACACACACACACACACACACACACACACACACACACACACTCTGCCAACTTCCCTTCCCTTTAACCAAGGAGATGAGGGCCTGGAAGTCACACTAGAAGACCCCAAGTACAGTTTACTTTTTCATCAGTTCCAGTTGTACTGGTTATTCTTTATGAAGAAATCCATGTAATTTTGTTTTCTCTCTAATTTTTAGAACTCTCCTATTCCTGCAAAACTTCCTGAACCAGTGAAAGCCAGTGAGGCAGCTGTAAAAAAGACCCAGCCAAAGGCCAGGTAAGAGATGCCCTCATGAGTTTGCATTCTGCCTGGTGCTAGCTGTAGTGGTCTACACTTGGTTACTGTGTGTCTGTGACCAGAGGCTGCCCAGATGAGGAAAGCAAGCTCCTATGGAGAAACTGTGTTTTGGGAGGTAATGAAATGCTGGGGTCTATATTTGAATGGGAGTAATGAACCTCACACCTTACATGACAATAAATGCAGGGTTTTCTAAGATGCGGCAATGGCAGACTTAAGGGTTGCTGGTAGACAATGTCCTACTATGTGTCCTGACTGGTGGTTAGATGTTTATCCCCTAGTCCTTCACTTCCCTTTCTTTCTTACTTCTCTGGCTGTGGGCACGTTAGGAAAAGTACAGTTGAAAAGAAAGCCCATGAACAGTGAAAGATGCCCCTGGTTCTTAGCTAATTATATTTGGTATCACAAAGAGAAGATTAACATGAGCAAAGATGCTCATGTCAGAGAAAACAGGGAACAAGTCAAGAGAGCCTAAAAGTATTGTTAGAAGTGAGACTCTGAAGGCTCACTTTAGAAAGGAAGAAAAGTAGCTATGACCCAGACTGCCATACAATTTCAGAAAGGCTTACTGAATCCTTCATACAAAGTCAGCCAGCAGAGGAATCCTTTCTTTTCAGGAGTCCCTGCATTTGGGATTTTGGAACTGGGAACAGTTGACTTCAGGTCACATGGTACGGGATTTTTGGAGCCAGCAACGAGACCATTGATTTTCATACCCCTCACAGCTCAGGGTCTACCAGATACATTTACATGACTGTCACAGCTTCCAAATGAAAAATTCTGAGGTGACCAGGAAGTTCTTTGCCCCTCCTTTTCTTACCATCCTCCTTTGGCAAGGAAATATTAGTAGCAAACTATATAAATAAAAGACCATAGGTAACAATAAGTGCATTTTTAAAGATTTATTTATTATATCTGTGTGTATGTCTCTGTATATATGTGCATGTGAGTACAGGTGCCACAGAAGCCAGAAGAGGGTATCAGATCCCCCGAAGCTGCAGTTACAGGCATGGGTACTGGGAACTGAACTTGGGTCCTCTGAAAGAGTAGTACACGCTCATAACTGCTGAGCCATCTTTCCAACCCCAATATGTGCATTTTAATTGACTAGTAAACTTTTGTGTTTTAAAAAATCCATAAATATTTATAGACTACTTAATGTATATCTCTAAAATAATGGAATAGAGGGGGTTTGGTGTTTGTTTTTTTGTTTTTTTTTTTGAAAGACAGGGTCTCACTATTTTGTCTTGGCTAGCCTGAACTTACTATGTGGACCAGACTGGCCTTGAAGTCACAATCAGCCTGTCTCTGCCTTCTTAGTGCTGAGATTAAAGGCTTGTGCTACCGTGCCTCACTAGTCTTGGCAGTTTTAAAAAAAGGTTTTATTTTTATTTTTATATGTATGAGTGTTTTGCCTGTATGTATGTAAGTATGCCATATGCATGCAAACCCAAGGAGGCTGGTTTCTGGAATTGGAGTTAAGATGGTTGTTACCTGCCACCTGGGTGCTGGGAACCAAACCCAGGTCCCTTGCAAGAGCAGCCAATGCTCTTAACTGCTGAGCCAGCTCTCCAGCCCCAACTTAGCAGTTTTGATTTCAAATGATGCCTTTTCTGTCATCAGCTCCCACAGCCTGACCAAAGAAGTCTACATAATGGCACAGAAGAGCAGTGACTTGCTTAGTTTATTGAGCATCTACTATATGTCAGGCCCTACAGATCTCAGCAATAGAGAATGACTGGTACTCAGTTTCTACTGTCTGTCATTTCTTCTCCTGTCCTCAAGAAAGGCAAAGGGTAGTAGCCTCACTCTGCACCTAGTCAAGCAGAGGCCCAGAGATGCCCAATTACTTGTTTAGCATCACACAGCCTTTCTGTAACAAGACTGGGACTTGAACCCAGATCTTTCTGGTCAGGGGCCTGTGCCTTTCTCTTGCAGAGGACAGAAGAAAGATGAATAGACAGGGTCTCCCTAGAGCCCTAGCTGGCCTGGAACTCACTATGTAGACCAGGTTGGCTCAGTCTTACAGAGATCTGCCTGCCTCTACCTCATGAGTGCTGGAACTAAAGTTGTGCACCACAACATACAGCTTGAGACAGAGTTTTAACAAATTTAGCAAACATAGTTATGAAATAAATAAAACTTGTTTTTTTAAATCTCAGTTTTTTAATGTAATTCTGATATACTCATCTCTTTGGGAATTTTTAACTAGTTCAACATTTTGGGATTATGGCCTTATTTTATATAGGCTTCAAACAAATATGTAAATATATATAGAGGCTGAGCAAGGATTCCTTTCTCCATTCTCACAGAGAACACACACTGAGGTCCTCTCAAACTGACATTTTGGACATGGCAGCTTGTAAAACGATTTCACAGTTGTCACCGCATATATATGTTTCTACATTTTTACATACAAGAGACCCAAAGCTGAAAGAGGTTATGTGGCATGCCCACCAAACACATGGTTGGTAGGGAGAGTTCAAGAACAGCCTCCAAGTTTCTTGGATTTTCCTCAAGAGAAGACCTTGCATTTGGATTTCTACAGAAGTCGATTGTCTCTTTCACCCTGAACCCTTTTTTCTTACACCTTTTCCCTATCTTCTGCGTTACTGTCCCTCACTTTCCTTCCCTAGGCTACAAGTTCTCCAAACATGATAACTTTTATATTGCCAGTTCTATGTCCTGTGCAGAACCTCTCACAGGATGCCCGTGAAGAGTTTCTAGGTCCAGGATGCACATTCCCAGAGGTTGTGTCCTAGAGAAGGACATTGGGCCAACTCCTTCGCTTCCTCTTATACAGTTCATGGAGGCTGTGCCAGACATGTTTTAGAAATACTTGTGAGGATTTTTTATTCTAGCCATCATCATCACTCCCTACAGTGCCTTTAAAGGGTAGTTGGCTCTGATTGGAGTTAGGTAGTAGCTAGCTGCCTAGACTTCTGTAAACAAGTGAAAATAGCACTAGTTCAGCAAGTGGACCACACAGTAGTTCTTCTGTATCAGTTTGGGTTAGATTTGACTGTTAAAATCCAAAATGGTAGTTGCTTACAAAAGATAGATTTTTTTTTTTCTCATAAACAAAGTTTGGCGATTAGTAGGTGAGGGCTAGTATAGTAGTTCTGCCCACAAAGCCCCAGAGACCCAGGTTTCTTTGTGCTTTTTACTCTCCCACCCTTCAGCATAGCCAGGACTGCATGGATCAGTGCAGCAGAATCGGTATTCAGAGTGGCAGGATCAAGGAATGGCCACAGACATAAAGGGCATGCAACTGTTATTTCTAAGACTTCTAGAAAGCAATATATAGCAATTTGCCTCATTCCATGTATAGGTATAGCTTGTCACTTGGTCACACTAGGTTGCAGAAGAGGCTAGCTACACTGTATAATTTTTACTCTGAGTGACCCTGTGTCCCTCTAAAAATTTATTATTGTGGAAAAAGGGGGAGGTATGTGTATTTGAGAAAATGGTGTTCCTGTTACACTGCCCAGTTTTAAACTCTTATCTTGGATGATTTGCTTATTCCTTTGAATTGTCATTTTGGGTTCATTCATCTGCATGTTTTTCACTATAGAGAAGCCCCCCTGTTAGATTTATTTTTATTTTTTGTATGTGTGCTTGAGTACAGGTACCCATGAAGGCCAGAAGAGAGCTTCAGATTCCCTGGAGCTACAGGTCATTGTGAGCTAAACTCAGGTGCTCTGGAAGAGCAGCAAGCACTCTTAACCATTGAACCATCTCTCTAGCCCCCAGAGAGCCCATTTTGATAGCTAGTTCTAACCAAATTTGAGTTCTCTCTGTGTGTGAAAAACATTGCCTCAAACCATTACTCAGAGTATATTCTGGAAATCCTGACCAAGAATCACCCTGTACCACATTGACATACAGACAGAAATCTGTGCCTTAGACTTATGTGCCCACCAAGTGTTGTTTTCTTGTTCTTTATTCGACAACATTTTTACTAAATGTAAAGGACGTTTTACTAATTTAATTTAAATTTTCCCCTTATTTCTTCAGTGATTCACTAGTCATTCAAAAGCATGCTGTTCAGGCACTGGGGAGGTGGCTCACCCTTCTCTCTCTCTCTCTCTCTCTCTCTCTCTCTCTCTCTCTCCCTCTCACTCTTTCTCTCTCTCTCTCCCACACACACACACACACACACACAGTTTTTTGTTTTTTGGGTTTGTTTTTTTTTTTTGGTCCTTTTGAAACAGGGTCTCCCTGTAGCCCCAGCTGGCCTGAAACTCATTATGTAGACCAGGCTGGCCTTGAACTCTCAGAGATCTGCCTGCCTCTGCCTCCCAAGCGCTGGGACTACACCACACTGGCCACATATTTCAGTCTCCCCAGTATTTCTGTAATTTCTCTTGCCATTGATTTCTAGTTTATTTCACTATGACCTGATACAAGAAATTATTATTTCAATTCTTCTGTGTTTATTGAGACTTGTTTTATGGCTTAGAGTGTGTTCTATTTTACAGAAAGTTCCATGGGCTGCTGAAAGAGTGTGTATTCCCTATTTATTGGGCTGAATATTCTATAGATGTCTGTAAAGTCCATTTGGTCTATGGTGTAGTTTAACTCTGAGGCCTCCATGTTGATTTTTAGTTTAGATGACTTATGCTGGATGCAGTAGGGCACATGCCTGTAATCCCACCACACCCCTCCCATCACTCGAAGCTTGTGGGCTAGCTAGTGTGGCATATGCAGTGCTGAATAACAAAAGAGACACCAATACTCAGGGTTGTCTTCTGATCGCCACATTTGCTTTGTGGCACATGCACATATATCCCTCCCCACAAAAAGTCCTTACATCTCCATCTTTTTTTTTCAGCAGTTTTAAAAAATATATTTTATTTACTATTTTTATTTTATGTATATGAGTATATTGCTTTCATGTGTGAAAGTGCACCTGTGTCATGTAATGTCGGTATCGGATCCCCTGGAACCAGAGTTACGGATGGTTGTTAGTCCCCATGTGGGTACTGGGAATCGAACCTGGGTCCTCTGCAAGAGCAGCCAGTGCTCTTAACTGCTGACCCACCTCTCCAGCCCCAAAAGACTGATCATGGGGCAGATGCCCAGAACAAGCCTGAGAACTTGCTGATGGACCCTACAGGCGCCCAGGGTGGTTCCTGCCCTGGCCATGGAGCAACCACCAAGGGGGTGGAGTCCAAGAGAGCCAGGTTGAACCAGGGCCCCTCCCCATCAGCCCACCACCCCTGACCCCAGGCGTGGATGCCTGACCCTGCAAAGGGTTTTTTAACCACTGGGCCAAAACACCCAAGGTACCTGGAGAGGGTAGACCATTAGTTTTTAAAGATAGCTTCACTGGGTTTTGTAGTGTGGGTTAGCATTTACTTATTTTCAGGGCTTGAGATGCATCATTATTTTAACAGCAATTACGTTTTTCCTTTTCTAGACTGACAGATCCCATTCCCACCACAGAGACTTCAATTGCACCCCGCCAGAGGCCTAAACCCGGGCAAACTCAGCCAAACCCAGGAATCCTTCCCATTCAGCCAGCCCTAACACCTCGTAAGAGGGCCACAGTTCAGCCTCTACCTCAGGCTACAGGTCAGTAACTAGACTGGTTTGCAGCTTGCTCCAAGCCCTTGTTATGGTGTGTTAGAAGACCCTACTTTTGCTTTAGCAATGTTATTCAGAGGCATAACTTAAAGATAATGGGCTGAGTTGCCATTGAATTTGAATCTTTCATTGGCCCCTTTGTTCATTCATCCCACCCTATTCTTTTATTTTGTAAATTTCTCTGCCTTTAGAGAAACAAGACTATCTTTTTGATACATCGTTTGGTTAATGTTATGTTTATTAAATGGTTTATCATCCTCCATGTTCCAGTATTCTATTTGTAATGAAAAGATTAAGCTTTGTTTCATAAAAGGGATTCATCCAAAATACCAAGTCACCCAACACAGCTATCACTTCCCCTACCAGTTGCTTGTGGTAAATATGATGGCCATCTACCTAGAGCAAACATCCAGATGGGGGTTGTATAAAGCTGTTCATAGAACATCAAAGTATGCTTTTTCTGTGTGGTATGAATGTTGGTGCAAAGGCTGTGCTTAGCACCAACAACCATCTGGCTCTGTAGATAAGGAGGACTCAGGGTGCTAACTAGTGGCTACATAGGATGATGGATAAAGGAAGCCCTGCTGAAGGAGGCAAGTGTTGAATTGTAATCCAACCCTGTTTTGAAATATCGGAAGCAAGAAAAACTGGATTTAACAAGAGGATGGAAAGGTATGCCAGGTAGAACATAGCATTTGGTAAGAGACTGAAGAACATGCAGATCTTGGGACAGTCTGCTTGCCTTTCACTCTTCACTGTGCTGGCAAATCAGAAAGCTATTTCTGTTTGGCAAAGTTTTGAGCTCTTACATGGAGTTTTTTTTTCATTGCAGGACCCAGCAATCAGCCTGGCCTTCTAGGCAGTGTTCCCCAACCTAAAGCCCAACCCACGCCCAGCCAGCCTCTCCCACAATCTCAGCCCAAGCAGCCACAGGCTCCACCCACCCCCCAGCAGACACCTTCTACCCAGACCCAGGCTCTGCCCACCCAGGCCCAGGCTACACCCCAACACCAGCAACAGCTCCTCCTCAAACAGCAGCCACAGCAGCAGCCTCAGCAACCGCAGCAATCAGCACCACAGCAGCAGATGGCACCACAGCAGCCTGCGGGCACCTTTTACCAGCAGCAGCAACAGCAGCAGCAGCAGCAGCAGCAAGCAGCCCAGACTCAGCAGGTGAGGTGGTCTAGGTGTGATCCTTGCTTTGTCCAACAGAGTTCTGACTGTGGAAAGGCCTGCTAGGTACAGAAATCTTTCTTGGGAAGTACTGGGATGGCCGAGAGCCACCGACCATCATCATTTCTCACATATGTAGAAACTGAAACATTGAGGTGTAGACCAATAATACTTAGGACTTTCAGTGTTGTTCTCAAGCCTTGGGGAGTTCACCCCCTACTCAAAGACCCTCTGTTTTCTAAGGAGATACAGTGGGAAAAATAACAGTAATTTCTTATTATTCAATATCCAATAGTGTCAAACTATTCCTGATATCTCAGTTTAAGTTTGTGTGTTCAAATCAGGATCCACACAAGGCCCACATATTCTATTAAGTTGGAGTAATTGTTTTCTATTATCTTTTTTTTTTTTTTCTTTTGAGACAGGGTCTCCCTGTAGCCCCAGCTGTCCTGGAACTTACTATGTAGACCAGGCTGGCCTTGAACTCACAGAGACCCGCCTGCCTCTGCCTCCTGAGTGCTGGGCTTAAAGGTGTGCGCCACTGTGCCCAGCGTTTTCCATTGTCTTTTGTTGTGTTTTTCCATCATGATGGTTTTTTTTCACTATGAACACATTTATTTTATAATTATTGTTATATCTTTTTAAAAAGATTTATTTTATTTATTTGTATGTGTGTGTGTGTATGTAGATGTGTGTGGGTATACACACTTGCGTGTACTCACGCACTCAAGAGGCCAGAAGAGCACCTGATCCTTGGGATCTGGGGTTATAGGCATTTGCAAAATGCCAGGCATGTTACATGGGTGCTGGGGACTGAACTCCAGACCTCAAGATCACACAGCAGGTGCTCTTAACTGCTGAATCATCTCTCCAACCCCATGATTGATATATCTTTTATATCCTCTTTTATTTTATTTTTTCCCCTTTGTTTTTTTTTTTTTTTTTGGTTGTTTTTAAAGAAGCTGGGTTATTTATTCTTTGAAGTTTTGCATATTCTGAATTTGGCTTGATTGCCCAGTGATCATATTTGGCCTATCCCACCATGCACCTTGTAAACCACTAATTTTTTTTAAAAGTATTAATTTTTCTATTTATTTTGTATATGCATGTTTCGTTTTTGTCTGTGTCCACATGTGGGCACATGTACCATGGCACCCATGTGAAGGTCAGGGGACAACTTTTGAACATTGGTTCCCTCCTTCCACCATGTGGGTCCCAGGAGCCAACTCAGTTTTCAGAGTTGGCTACAAATGTTCTTACTGGCTGAGCCATCTCATTGACCCTAAACTGGTCATTTCTAAGACCTGCTCAGTATCAGTTCAGTCTGGCACAGTTCTTTGTTATTCCTGTTGTATCCCTTGTATCCCATTGGTGGCCTGGGATGTCTGCTTGACCATCTGTGTGTGTAGGTATTGTCAGTTTCATCTGTTTTTTCAGTTTTCCTCATTATTGATCTTTCCCAAGTCCATTAACCCACTATGGGTGACAAAATGATTCTCTATTCTTCTCCCTTCATTTAGAGACTGGGGTTATGAAGAGTTTTCTCTTTTTAAAATTTTCTCCCCATTAAAAAAATTAGTTTGTGTGTATCTGTATTTCTTTGTATGTACATGTGCCACAGTGTGTGTGTGATCACAGAACAACTCTGTAGAGTCAGTTCTCCCATCCTTGTTGGTCCTGGATATCAAACCAGTTGTCAAGCTTGAGGGCAGACATCTTTACCTGCTGAGTCCTCTTGCTGGCCCTATGAAGAATTTTTTCATCAGCTGTTTGGTTACTCCAAGATACTGTTTGTACGTAAAAGGTAAAGAAAAATGTTAGATCCTTTCCTTTGTCTACCAGTTTTCCAAAATAATGAAAATGTTCATCTGAAGATGACAGTAAGGGTTTTCTTTTGTATCATTGTGAGTTTGTGGATTTCAAACATGCTTAATTGTCCTATTTTAGATCTCCACATGCTGGGTATATCACCAAAGCTCAAAATAAAGGCTTGCTAATTAAAAACAACAACAACAACACAAGACCATGTCTTGGAAAATCCCAAAAGCTGTTACTGAATTGAGAAGATACTATTTGTCTGTTGGCTTTACCGTTAAATCTATAAAATTCTTTGCCCTTTCACTCTTGCGTAGAGATAGTCCTCCTGTTTCTTCTTGAGAATATGCGGGTCTTCCACACAGACCACAGTCCTTCTAGTTTCCTGTTGGTAAACATCTGGGTTGTTGCCAGCATCTTGCCATTTTAAATAGGCAGCTGTATTCTGAGATGTTCTTTTTTCCTAACCTTTAAATTTTACCCCAATAAACAAATAGTAGCTTCTCAATTCAGTAACAGCTTTTGGGATTTTCCAAGACATGGTCTTGTGTTGTTGTTGATTTTAATTAGCAAGACTTTATTTTGAGCTTTGGTGATATACCTAGCATGTGGAGATCTAGAAAGCCATAAAAGAAGAGCCAGAAAGATGGGTGTAGGGTACACCTCTAGCCCCAGTTACTCAGGAAGCTGGAGGAACAGGATTCCTTGAGCCCACAGTTTTTGAAGTCAGCCTTGGCAATGTAGTGAGACCCTGTGTAACACATGAGGGAGGGGAACATTAGAGTAAAATGGTTAAAGATGACAGAATTGCATAAAGGGGGAGCTATTGGCTAATAATTTTGGAAAGGCTTAAAATGGATGCTAGTTGTTGGTTAATATTTTATTTTTATTTATTTATTTTTACTTTTATCTGCATTTATTTTATGTTCAACTTATTTCCGTGACATAAGCTTTTGTTTCCTCAGTTTCTTCTGGGATATCTTTTTCTTTTGTGTAAGAACATCTCTCCAGCCCCAGCATTTTATTCTTAGCTGCTTCAAAATTCTTTGTAAGATGAATTCCTTCTGTCACTAGAGATTCCAGACTTGCTTTTCTTCACTCAAGTTGTAGAGTTACTTGAGTTAAATCTGGTTGCTCCTTTAGAACTGGGCCTCAAAAGTAGTCTGGTGCAGTGGGGAGGACCTGGCAGTACATGTCCTGCTGAGTTGATTCTATGAGCTCTTGAGCCCAACTCCAAGGCCTCTTAGGCCAAGCCCTTTGGCCTCATCGTTACTGAGTAGTTATTAAGACATTAGTCTTTTGTTAATGTGGCTCTGCAATAGGCTGGTTTTCACTTTCTCATTTATTGCTATCCTGTGTAGTTTCAGGCAGTACATCCAGCATCTCAGCAACCAGCTGTTGCTCAGTTCCCTGTGGTGTCCCAGGGAGGCTCTCAGCAGCAGCTGATACAGAACTTCTACCAACAGCAGCAACAGCAGCAACAGCAACAGCAGCAGCTGATGACTCAGCAGGCTGTGCTGCAGCAGAAGACCACTATGGCAGTGCCACAGCCCCAGGTACAGCCAGCCACAGCCCCACAGCCAGTCGCTGCTCAGGAGTCCTCGGTAAGAACTAACAGGGAGACCCTGTCTCAAAGAACAAAGTATTACATGTATATTTCCAGACTATTAATGAAGAAGAATCTTCTTACTTATCACTCTGAAATCAGTATAGGAAAATGTGGTTCTTTGTCTCAGTACCACTGCTGAGCAGCCATGGACTTGGGAGCAGAGCTAGTCTCTGTCCCTTCTTCCAAGGGCAGTTTGGTCTATTGTGCCCATCCTTGTTTCTGGAGGTTTATGTGGCCCCACCTTTACCAACCTGAATTTTGACACCATTTTGTTTATTCTTTGTCCTGAATGACCTTATTAACCACATCGTTTAAGTCTACCATGCAGTACCATTAGGATGCTTACTTGCCTGGGACCATTTCCCATGGCATAATCCCTATACTTCAGAGCATTCTGTGACTGGGGCCATCCTGTCAGTTTAGAGCTTGGGTTATGTCCACTTTAAGATACTGGCTGAATGTGGCATTGGACCCCTCTCCTGGTTGGCCTTGAGTTTCAGCAGACCTCAGGCACTTTGCCTCTTTCTTACTAAGTGAACTGTGTTCTGCAGTCAGTTTTCTGAATGAGAGTAATAGAAATGTTTCTGCTGTTATAAAAAGGCATTTGTATATCTAGTCAGTTCTGTGTATATACTTAGCTCTTCTCATTCCCAAGGAAACCTAATTAGTAAACCAAGGAAGGAAAGTAAGAAACCATCTTTCTGAGGTTTCATTTCCAGCAGAGGTTTGCCGCCCATCCTAAAACCAGAAAACTTTTCTCTCATCAATAGGAAACAATTCCGTAAATAGATTGTCTTCATTGCCGCCACTGAGTGTTCAGTGTCTTTTGTTTCTGAAACAAATCAGTCTTCTGCAGGAGTGTGGTAGATAGCTGTTGTTTATATTTTTCACCTGAAATAAACTTGATAATGAAAAGGTTTTAAAGAAATATTACATGAAGAAACTAGAAGAGATCTTAAATATCTAATTCAGTCCTCTCATTTTATAGAATTAGAAACTGAAGACCAGACTAGAAAATAATTGACATACAGAAGGATCATGCTAGAGCTGGGGCAAGAATCAAAGAACCGTAATCTGTATTTAGGAGTAGTAACAGCAGATGTTTCTTGTTGGTGATGAGTTGTTCAGCTGCTACACTTCTTAGGAGGCTTTTCTCTGCTTTTTTTTTTTTTTTTTTAAAGACAGAGTTTCAGAGCTGGAGAGATGGCTCAGTGGTTCAGAGCACAGGGTGTTCTTGTAGAGGACTTGGGTTGGTTCCCAGCACCCACATGGCATCTGACAACTAACTCCAGTTTCAGGGGATCTGTTGCCCTCTTCTGATCTTCACGGGTATTACAGGACATGTGTGCACTTGCATACATGCAAGCAAAACACTCATACACATAAAATAGTAAATAAAAATTATTATTTTTTTTTGGTCTTTTTGAGACAGGGTCTCCCTGTAGCCGCAGCTGTCCTGGAACTCACTATGTAGACCAGGCTGGCCTTGAACTCACAGAGATCCACCTGCCTCTGCCTCTGCCTCTGTGCTGGGATCAAAGGCTTGTGCCACCACGCCTGGCATAAATTTTTTTTTTTTTTTTTAAAGACAGGTCTCACTTATGTAACGGTGGCTGGCCTGGACAGAGATTCCCCTCCCTCTGCCTCCCAAGTGCTGGAATTAAAGGCATGTGTCACCACACCCTGCTTCTCCTCTGGCCTTTACTGGACGAAGTGTCCAGTCTTCTGAATGAATCCTAAGCCTTCCTATGATTCCTGAATGGACAAACACAGAGTACTATGCTCTGGGGCAGCTGGTTTAGAAGATACATGTATGGAAGCCAGTTGTTTTGGCAGGAGCCAGAGAGCTGCCTGGCTTCCACCCTGTCTTGCTGACTCATGGTAAGACTAACCTAGAGAAACACATGAAGAACACTATCTTGAAGCAATGATTGGCAAGGAAAAGTGGCCATTCTCCCTTGATGTCTATGCAGTATTAATAATTACATCCCACAAAAATGAATGAAGCCTGAACTGTTCAGGAATCCAATTGTGTAGCCACTAAAATGTATGTTTGAAAATTGAGCATGATGCTCATGCCTATAATCCCAGAACTTGGGAGGTAGAGCAGGAGCATCAGGAGTTCAAAGCCAGCATGGGCTACGTCAGTCAGTCAGTCAGTCAATCAGTCAGTCAGTCTCTTTCTCTCTCCCTCTCTTTCTCTCTCAAGTCTGTATAACCATATGAAAAAAAATGCTCATGAGTTAATGTTAAATAACTATGAAATTAGAAAAAAATTTGAAAGATGACATAAGGAACCACAAAGATAAAAATAGTTCTGTTAGAACACATTAAGCTGCATGCAGAGATGCCTCAGTGGTTAAGAACACTCACTGCTCTTGCAAAGAAACTAACTTCACCAGCTCCCACACTGGGAAGCTTACAACTACCTGTAAATTCAGCTCCAGAGGGTCTGACATTCATATACATGTGCACATACACACATGCAGATACACATATACACAAAAATAAAATGATTTTTTATTTTAAAATATTTTTATTCTGGGCTGGAGAAATGGCTCAGCAGTTAAGAACACTGAACGTTCTTGCAGGAGACCCCAGTTCGAATCCCAGCACCCACATGGCAGTTAACAACTGTCCATAGCTCCAGTTCCAGGGAATCAAGGCTCTCTTTTGACCTCCATGGGCATTGCACGACACAGGTGCACTCACATATATGCAGGCAATACACATACACACATAAAATCAAAATAATAAATAAAATATTTTTAAAAATATTTTAATTCTTTGGGAATTTCATACAGTGTATTTTGATCGTAGTCAGCCTCTTCCCCCATCTCCTATTAGATCCACTCCTACCTCCCTACCCACACCAATTTCATGTCCTCTTTTTTTTTTAAAGCCCATCAATTCCAATTTTGTTCCCCACATACTCTTATGTATGATGCCATCCCTGAAGCATGGCCAGCGTACTAGGAGTCATACCTTTAAAGAAAACTATCAGTTGCCAATAGTTCCTCGGTCTGGGGTGGGGCTTCTTGCCCACCTCCCCCACTTCATGCTAGGATTTTGTCTGGCTTGAGCTTGTGCATGCTATCACAACCACTGTGAATTCATATGTTCAACTGCCCTGTTGTATCCAGAAAATACTGTTTTATTATAGTCATCTGTGGCCTCTAGCTCTTAAAATCTTTCTGCCCCCTCTTCCACAACAGTCCCTGAGCTTCAGGGGACAGTATGATACAGGTAGCCCATTTTAGATTCTCATTTTTCAGGCTGTACAAAAATCAAAGGATCAAAGGCCCTAATGTAAGACTTGAAATGGAAACTGCTAGAGGAAAACAGAGAGGAAACACTTCAAGATCTTTTTTGAAAAGGACTCCAGTAGCACAGGAAATTATCCCAAGAGTTATTAATTGGAGCTACATGAAACTCAAAGCTTCTGTACAGCAAATGAAACAGCAGCGTGAAGAATCAGTTTACAGATAATCCAATAGGAGATTCATAACTAGACTCTATAAAGTATTCCAAAAACTAAACACACAGAATCTGTCCTGTCAGTAAATAAACTGATGAATAGACAGTTCTCAAAGAAAGAAATAGAAGTGATCAGTTAATGTTTGAAAAAGTGTTCGATGTCCTCAGGCATCAGAGAAATAAATATTAAAAGTGCCTTTAGATTCCATTTTACACGAGTCAGAATGGCTGTCATCCAGAAAACAAATGACAAATGTTGCTGAGGCTGTGGCTGGTAGCAACGTATACTGGAGCAGCCATTATGGAAATCAGTACAAAGGTTTCTCAAAAAACTAAAAATAGACCTACCATATTACTCAGCAGTACCACTCCTGAGTATACCTGTAGGTGATACTTGCACATCTCTGTTTACTGCTGTGCTAGTCATAGTAGCCAAGATATGGAACCAGCCTACAGGTCAACCAACAGGTGAGTAGCTAAAGAATATGGTACTTATACACAATGACATTTTTTTCATCTGTGAAGAAGAATGAAATTATGCCATTTGTAGGTAACTAGAAAACTTGTTAAGATAAATAAGCCAGACTCAGACAAGTATCACATGTATCTAGACTTAAATTTATATGTGCAGTACTTCTGTAGGAAAATGAAAGGGGACTATAGAACAGAGGAAATGGTCTAAGGAAGGGAGAGAAGGAACAGGAAAGGATAACAGAGTATATGTAATATGAACATAGAAGGAGGGATTGTTTGGAGAGGGAAAGGGGACCAGAAAGAGAGAGGGTAGTGGAGGTGAATAAGAACAAAGTATAATGATATGTAGGCATGATAATGCCACAGTAAATCCCATTAACTTTGTGTGCTAACTAAAAAATGGAATTAAAAGCTGGGCATGATGGCACAAGCCTTTAATCTCAGCATTTGGGAGGCAGAGGCAAGCGCACCTCTTGAGTTCAAGGCCAGCCTGATCTGAGTTCCAATCCATCTGGGGCTATAGGGAGACCCTGTCTCAAACAAAGAAACAAACAAAGCAATTAAAGAAAATAGTTATGGGGGCTGGGAAGGTGGCTGCTCTTGCAGAGGACCATGTTTAGTTTCCAGCACCCAGATAGTGGCTAACAACCATTTGCAACTCCAGTTTCAGGAGTTCTGATGTCCTCTTCTGATCTCAGAGGGCATTGTACAGCATGAGTGTACTTACACACGTGCAGGCAATACATTCAGACACATAAAATAAAAATAATAAAATATTTAAAAATAGTTATATTACCATGGTGGAATGGAACATTCTTCTATTATATTTCTTGATATGATTATACTTTACATATTTTGTGTCTTAAGAAGTCTCAGACAAAATAGACGTTGGGCTCTTACTTTTTTACTTTCTCCTGTGGTCTGCTCTTCCTTCCTGACTTTTATTTTTATTTGTTTGGTTGATTGAGACAGGGTATTAAATTTCTTGAGGAATGGAACCCAAATCTACACAAGAAATTCATTTGTTTCATGTGCACTTTTACAATGAAACAATTGTATACAATAGTTTGCCTTTTGACTATGATCTACCTTGTGAAGTCATGGGTAGAATTATCCACATTTGGCATCTTATCAATGCTCAAAATTTTAAACTTTTGGAATGTACTTTTCTGTTGCTGTGATAAACATTATGACTGAAAACAATTTGGGGAAGGACAGGTGTGTTTAATTTATAGGTTCCAGGCCATCATGAAGGAAGTCAAGGCAGGAACTGGAGAGATTGTGGAGGAATGTTGCTTACTGACTCATGTCTGGAAATTGGTTGACCAGCTGGGATTTCCTATTGCTGTGATCCAATGTAGGCTTTCTTTCATTTGTTCTAGAAGTTTTCTGTTTATGCAGATCAAACAAAAATTCTTATTTCATTCCTGGAAACATCATGATTTATTAGCCGATGCCAAAGGTCCATATGAGTCATGCCATTATAGGTTTTGCTTTGCCTGTGTTGTCCATTATAGTAATTATGTTCACCTTGCCTTTGGGCATTCAATGCTGCACCTGATGCCTGCTCTGGGGTCCCTTATACCCAAATCCGTTGATTTGGGTAGCAGCAGCTCCAACTCTAAGGTCTGGCCCAAGGAGAAGAGCAACAACAAAGCCCCTCAAATGTGCAGATCCCTCTCACCATTTTTGTGGTTTTTATCGTTAGTGAAAAACTTGTCCTCTGGGCCCTCCTGTTTAGAAGACTAGGTTTTACACAGTGAATCCACTGCAGCATTCCAGTTTTCTTAAGCCTTAAAATCTCTTCATCAGCACTAAGCCAACAGATATCAGCCATCTCTAGTGCCTTCTCAGTAGGCCATCTTTAAATTTTTTTTTTCATTTTATGTGTATGAGTGTTTTACCTGCATGTACATAAGTGTACCTGTGTTGTACAGTGCCTACTGGGGCCAGAAGAGGGAGTCAGATCTCCAAAATTAGAATTTGGATGGTTGTTAACCAATATGTGAGCTCTAGAAACTGAACCCTGGTTCCCTCTGCACTTTTGCTGTGAAGTTGAAACAGAAAATAGGAACTTGTAGCTCCATCCTATCAGTGAAATGAAGGCCTTTACTAACAAAACAAAACAACTACTCCCACAATTCAGTCACAGTGGAGTTATCTGACTCATTCCACTCAGCTGTAGCAGGGAGTCCACACCTCAGCAGAGACTATTCTGCTTTGGAGCATCTTAGCTGAAGTGTATCTTCTCTGGCTTCTAACTGTACTCGAAGGCAGAGTCTATTGTCTGCTGCATGGAAGCATTCCGAACGAGATGCTGTGCCTTCAGAAGCAGAAGGAGGTCCTTTATGTTTCCTTCTAGGTCTTTTGAGCTGGGAACAGCTTCTGTGGTCTAATATTCTTGGCTGAATTATATCTGGTTGACCTGCACATTGTAGCTGATGAAGACTGAATATGTCTAAGAACCAGGCAAATGCCTTATTGGTGTCAAGTCTCAGTGCCTGGCTTTTCTTCCTGGTGCTATTGATAACCTTAGCCATTCAAGGCCTGTGTCAGCTCATGAGGTGTTATTATACCTAGTTGTTGATTTTTTTCCGACCCTTTTCCATTTCTTTTTTTTTCTTTTTCTTTTCTTTCTTTTTTTTCTTTTTTGTTTGTTTTTAATGAAACTCTTCCATTTCTCTCTCCCTAGCAGATTCAAGCCCCAGCAAGACAACAGCCAAAGGTTCAGACAACCCCACCTCCAACCATCCAGGGACAGAAAGTTGGATCTCTCACTCCTCCATCATCCCCTAAAACCCAACGTGCTGGGCACAGGCGGATTCTCAGTGATGTAACCCACAGTGCAGTCTTTGGGGTGCCTGCCAGCAAATCAACCCAGCTGCTGCAGGCTGCTGCAGCTGAGGCCAGTCTCAATAAGTCCAAGTATGTTTGTCTTTCCTGTGGGCAAGGTTTGCTCTGTGCTATTACTGCCTGGTTCTTTGTATGTGTGTGTGTGGAGGTGTAAAGATGGGTGAGTACCTAGTGTGTGTCTGTATTATTAAGAAACGATTAACTAGTCCATAGTGCATATAAGATACTGATCCATAAGAATTTTCAGTTTTAAGCCAGGTATGGTGGTACATGCCTTTAATCCCAGCACTTGGGAGGCAGAGGCAGGTGGATCTCTGTGAGTTCAAGGCCAGCCAGGTCTACATAGTGAGTTCCAGGCCAGCTGGGGCTACAGGGAGACCCTGTCTCAAAAAAGACAAAAGAAAAAAAAAAGAATTTTCATTTTTCATTCTCTCACTTTCACAAGCCCTTGGCTCGCCCTGTGCTTTCTCTGGGGCTGCTGCTTTCCTCCTTTCCCCCACAGATGCACATTGACTGTTCAAATCCGTGTCAGGGCTTTGATCTCTCCTTTGATGCAGCATTTTGTTTTGGCACTTCTTTTGTTTGATCATTATTTGTGTGTCTGGCTGACCTGGCTTGTGAATTCCAAAGACAGAGACCGAGCCGGCCTTTGAAAACCTGGTGCGAAATGTGTTCTCTGCCTCATATAAAGTCAGTTTGGGTGAATGTCGAGTCAGTGCAATTTTCAGTGTTTCAACTTCCTTGAAACATGCACTCAAAAGTTAAAAATCTTATAAGTTAAGAGAGATTGGAAGAGGGAGCTAGAGAGAGAGGAAGGGCTCAGTGGTTAAGAGCACTTCCTCTTCTTCCAGAGAACACCGGTTCTGTTCTCAGCACCCACATGGTGGCTACCAGTCATCTGTAAATCCAGTTATAGGAGATCTGACACCTTCTTCTGGCCTCTGCAGGCACTGCATACATGTAGTGCAATCACATACATGCAGCCAAAACACTCTTGTGCATACAATAAAAATAAATAAAATGCTTTTTAAAAAGATAGGCAAGCCCAGCATAGTGGTACACACTTTTTAGTCCCAGCACTCAGGAGGCAGAGGCAGGTGGATCTCTGTGAGATCGAGGCCAGCCTAGTCAACATAGCGTCAGGCCAACCGGAGCTACAGGGAGACCCTGTCTCAAAAAATAACAACAGTGAAAAGTTAGACTAGAAAAACATTAGGTGATTTAAACAGGCAAAGTAGTGGTAGCTGTTTAATTGTGATGGAATGATGGTAGATGGGAGGGGGGATGGAACCCAGGTCCTCCGGCATGTTAGGTGAGCCCTCTACCACTGAACAGTGTTCCTAGCCTATGATGTTAGCCTAGTGCTGTTTGTGCTAGCTCCTGAAAGATCCAGAGGCAACCAAGATAGGCCTGAATGCTGTCTTGACAGGGGTTGGCCTTTTTGAAAACACCAGGCCTCAGGATAGGTTGCTGTAGGCTCCCGAATCAAAGGGCCTGCAAAAGAAAAGAAAGCTGCAGGATCTCTTGAGAGCTAAAGGGAGTAGAGACTGTATTTGTGAAGACTAAACTTTTCAGTTGCTATGGAAAATCCTTTTAGAAAAACACTAAGAAGTGATGGTTTGACTCAGAAAAGAATTTAATCTCAGAATGAAGAGAAGGTAGTTTGAGCACTTCTGCTTATTCTACTTTCTTTTGTTTTCCGTGGGATGCCAACCCACCCAGGTCTGCAACCACCACTCCCTCTGGCTCTCCACGGAACTCCCAGCAGAATGTCTGTAATGCTTCAGAAGTTTCCACTTGGAATCCCTTTGATGATGACAACTTCTCCAAACTCACAGCTGAAGAGCTGCTGAACAAGGACTTTGCCAAGCTGGGGGAGGGTAAGTAGGCAGTCTTTTTTTTACTTCTTGGTTGTGTGTTTGCTAAGAATAAATAGGAATTGGAGGTCTGCTTAGCTGTTAGAAGGATATGTTTGTGAAAGGCCAGCTTAGCCTGTCCCCCAGAGAATTGATTTTTGGGGTACATAAACTGATTTTCACTTTTACCATAGCACGAAAGTCTTTTTATCTTCAAGAAATCCTGACCAGTTGTGGTAGGCAGCACGGAGTGTGTGAGTATAAGACAATAAGTTTAGGAAAGATTCCATGGCATAAGCTAGAATAATTGCAGCAAGCAGAGTTACTGCCTGGGGAAGTGGGGTGCCCCCGTCCTCCCCTTCTCAGTGGGCTTGCCCTAGAAATAGTGACTGAGACTGTGCTTCACAGGGGCACCAGGTCTCTCACTGATCTCAAATATGTGCTGCTGTTGACTGACCAAAGAAGATTCTTTAAATAAAAAATACGGTTCTGTCCAAAATATTCACAGGCTAATTTGGGAGGCAGGATGCACATGTATGCACATGGACACAGACATACACACTTAAATACATCTCTCAAATATGCCCTTGGAGATTCTCTCTAAGCACACAGAGCACAGTGCAGAATGATCAGAGCCCAGTGAGGGTTATGAGCTGCTGGCCACATGTTTTAGCTCTCACATGGTGACATTTTAAATACATTCTTTTCTGCCCTTTAATTTGTTTTATTTATTTTTGAGACAGAATCTCACAATGCAGACCTGACTAGCTTGGACCAGGCTGGTCTACGTAGACCAGGCTGGGTTTCAACTCCCAGAGATCTGTCTTCCAAGTGTTGGTATTAAAGGTGTATGCCACCATGTCTAGCCCTTTTCAGCTTTTTAAAACAGAGGACAGGACTTAGGGTTTGATTTTTCTTTGATAAGTCATTTTCATTGCTGCCTCTGCCACTTCTTGTTCTGAACTATAAACAGAAATACTTTACTTGCATTATTTTAAGATTTATTTTATTTTTAATTGTGTGCGTGTATGTGTGTGTGTGTGTGTGTGTGTGTGTGTGTGTATGTGTGTGTGTGTACCTGCAAGTACAGATGCCCTCATAGTCTTAGAAGAGGGGTCAGATTCCCTGGAGTTAGAGGCAGTTGTGAACTGCCTGATGTGGGTGTTGGGAACCAAACTCAGATTCTCTGCAAAGAAGTACATGCTCTTAATTACTGAGCCATCTCTCCAGCCCTGCTCCTGAGTTTTTAAGCTCCAGTTTTCATTTCCTGTCTTTCTTGCTGTTTAGTTGTCAGCTTTCATGCAACACTGCTGTTGTTACACCTGTCCTCCATGGCCTCTCACTGCTGCCTTCTCTACCACTTCCTTTAATTTCTGAAACTGTTTCCAGCTTAGAATACAAATCTTGGAGCATTGGCACAGATAAAAACTTTTTAGTGGTCATGGTGTTGCCATGAATGTGGTAAATAGAGTTGTCAAAGGGTACCCTTCACCCCACCATGTGTCTGTACACCTTAGGATTCTGCTCAGATAAACTAAGCGGTGTTTTGTCCCTCTAGGAAAGCTTCCTGGGAAGCTCAGTGGCTCAGCAGAGAGTTTGATCCCAGGCTTCCAGTCAACTCAAGGGGATGCTTTTGTCACATCCTCATTTTCTGCCGGAACTGGTAAGTGTGACACATGCCTGAGACATGAGGCTCACTGTTAGCACCTTCAAGTTTCCTCTCCACAGAAAGCTCAAGCATACCAGAGAATCCAGTTTCTGGTAGTAGCTCATATTCTCCTTCCTTCAGTAACTGTCCAATCAGAAATAGAGGAAGCTCTAGAGTCATTTTGAATTGAAGTGGTGGGATGATCTGGTGTAATATGTAAGACTTGTTGTCTCTAGTTCAAGACATGTCTTATGCAGATTTCTGATTTGAGGAACAGTGCCCTGTCAAGGCCTTGTCATTGCTTAGGATCTGAGGGATGACTTGAAGAATTCTAAGAATGAGATTTCTGTCTTATATTTGACATTCTACTGTGTGTGTGTGTGTGTGTGTGTGTGTGTGTGTATACGTTTTTAAAACAGAAGTAATAAGAGCCTTACTTTCCCCTTTTAATAGCAATTATGCATACTTATGTAAAAGTTATGGGTTTGTGGAGGAACAAGTTCAAATCGCCTGTCATCTCACCACCCAGACATAGCATAGCAGCTCTGGCTTGGTGCATTTAACCTTTTTAGGGTCATAGGCATCTTTTTGAATCTAATGAAATTTCTCTCTCATCATTAAAGAAACTCCAAAAATATAAATTTTAAAATATTTATGCTAAATTCATTTATGTGGCTAGATTCTAATGTAGTTAGCCATACATACTCATGTCATTACTTTACTATATAAATACTTAAGCAGTATCTGTGAACTTATGATTGTGGTATAGAATTCATATGTGTTATTTTCCTAACCTCATACATTTACTCCTGATTGCAACCTTGGCTGCTGTTCCACAGTATTTGATAGAGTGCTCTTTTGTTCTCGTGGTTTTCCAAATGTTTTTAAGTTAAAGTTCCTGTTTCTTCTTTAAGGAGGAATTACTTAGGATATGTTTGGCTACATTGAGACTAATATGGTGTATGTAATCTTTACTATAGGGTATTACTAAAGGGCTGTTTGTGGCCCAGTATGTCATCAACTTTAGAAATGTTCTATAGGAATATGTAGTTTTCCATGTCAGTAGGTATTAATATGTAACATGATTTAAAAAAAATTTTTTTTGGATTTTTTTGAGACGGGGTCTCCCTGTAGCCTCAACTAGCCTGGAACTTGCTGTGTAGACCAGGCTTACCTTGATCTCACATAGACCTGCCTGCTTCTGCTGGGATTAAAGGTGTGTGCCACCATGCCTGGTACATAACATGATTTTTAATGAATGACTGGTAATATTTAGTGAACATCCTCTTTTGTAAATACTTAGATTGTTACCAATTTTTTCCATAAACTAAATTTTTACACATCTTTATACTTTCTTGAAAACAACTTATAGATAGGTATATTTTAAAGCTTTCAATATATGTTTCCAAGTTGCCCTCTGAGAAAGCTTTGTGAATTTTCTTGCAGTGGTGAATGAGAGCCACTTTCCGCACTATTTCTCCACCCTAAGGAAAACTGAAGGTATATAGGGGAGATTTAGTTTGAGGAGAAAGTTGAATATGGGAAGACTTGAGATCAGGATCCTAGGAAATGTTGAGTGTCCAAGGAAAAGGGGGTTATTAGGGAAGTTGGAGTCCCAGGAAGACACTGGGAATGGGTCCGGGATACCAGGTGAGCTTCCCTCTCCTCCCCTTCCCTGGGTCGGGCCTGGAGGAACTAGTGTGCCAGGCACTGAACTGGATGTGCTGGCAGCTGCTGGCATTCTGGGAGCAGTCACTGGGGAGGACATGGCTATGGAAGTGGTAGAGACAGTTAACATTCTGGCCTTCGCCCCTTCACTCCTGCTGCCCTTCCCTCGGCTGGGCTACCTGAGTAGTGCCATCACTGCACCTCCCTGTGCTCTCTGTTACTTCAGGGCCTCCATATGCCAGCCTCTCCCTGCTGCCATTGCCCCCTGCAGATCTGGCCTTACTGGGACAGGCCCCTGCTAGCCTATGGAAGGGCCGGGTGTGCTCCTGCTCAGATTTATCCAGGCCTGGGGTCTGGCCTTCTGCATTTTGGTAGTCTCTGCAGTAGAAGCAGGCATCAGCTATCTTAAAACTATGGTATGAGGGGGCGGCCAGGTCCAGGGAATGTGATTATTGCTGGTTCACCAAGTGATGTTGCATTTGTCTTTCATGTCATGTGTGTCCTAGACTATACCTTGCTGGCCCTCAGGAGGTGGCATTGGGTAGAATATAGATGTGGTTACTGTGACAGCAAGGGAATCTGTCCAAGGAATGCAGGACAGTAGAAACTGGGGAGGGCCAGGAAGCTGAGGGACCAAGCTGACAGAGGGAAGCAAGCTGTGAAGGAAGATCCAAGTCAGCTGTTGGCAGGAGAGACCAGATTCAGGATGGCTAGCATGAGGTCAAGAGGTGCACCCCCAGAACCACTGAGTTGACTTAGTGAGTACAGGTGCAAGCTGGAGAATGGATTCAATCTCCAGGATCCATCTAAATGTGGAAAGAGAGAACTGACTCCTCAGAGTTGTCTTCTGGCCTTCACTCGTGCATGCGTGCGCGCACACAGACACACAGACTCACACACACATACACACATGCCCCATAAACACATCACACACATACATATCTACACATAAAATAGTAATAATAATAAATAAAAAAGAAAAATATTTTAGTGGACCAGCAAGATTACTCAGTAGGTAAGGATACTTGCTGACAACATGAATTTGATCCCCAGAACCCACATAATTGAAGGAGAAAAACAATTCCTTCAGGTTGTCTTCTGACCTCCACATCTATGTGCACACACACACGCACACACACACACACAAATAAACATAAAAAATTTATTTTTATTTTATACATATGAGTGTATTGCTTTTATGTAGGTAGGTGCACCCATGTGCAATGCCAAGAAATAAAAGTTATTTTTTCATTATAGATATTTATTGAATATTTGTGCATTTCATACAATGCATCTTAATCATACTTAGACCCCCTCCCCTACCTGTACCCCTCATAGACCACCCACCAGATTTCATGCATTCTATCATATATGTTAAGACTTACTGAATCAAGTTTGTATATTCAGATGACCCTTCATATTAATTCAACCACTGAAGCCTGGTCAGCCTATCAGGGGTCACTCCCTTAAAGAAGACCAACTCTCCCTCACCCAGCAATGATCAGCTGCCAATAATTCCTCAGCTAAGATTGAGGCCTCCTTCCCATTTCCCTAGTTCTATGCTGGGTTTTAGTCTGATTGAGTTTGCATGGGTCTTGTGCATGCTATAAGTTCATAGGAGCAAGTTCCCAGCCACCCAGAAGACTCTGTTTCTTTGTGGTCATGCACCACCCCTGGTTCTTACAACCTTTCTGCCCCCTCTTCCACAATGGTCCCTGAGTCCCTGGTGGGTGAATTTTAATATAGAAGTCCTATCCAGGGACACACACTCTGCACTCTCCTACTCTCTTACAGTTGGCCAGTCATGGCCATCTGTGTTACGCTCCCTCTGTTGCATGAAGAAACTTCTTTAGTGAAGGTTGAGAGATGCATTAGTAGTCTCTCTACCCCTGTTCTACTATTTTCCATGACACTTAGGTGTAGAGGTTCCATTGTAGGTGTATCACTTAGAGCTGGGCATCTCACAGACACTTTTTCTTTGTGTGTGACCAGTTGTGGAACTCTAATATTCTCCATCTGTTGCAAAAAGTTTCTTTGATGAGTGGTGACAGGTGTACTTGTCTGTAAATACAAGGATACATATTTAGAATATAGTAAGAAATACTTTTGTCTAAGGATATAACAGACATAGAGTTTTCTCTAGGATCTGTGACCTCTCCTGCCATGTGTATTTCACTACCACACATGAATTCCCTCCCATTATGCTCTCTCTCATTTTGTGGATTTTAGCACCGAATCCCTATATGTGAGTATATATCCTGATGACTGCAGAAGCCAGGAAAATGGAAAGAAATCATGGAGGCTAAGGAAAAGAAGGAGCCAGAGAGAAGAGGATTGTAGGAGACAAGTGTTACCAAGGGAGAAATGGGAAAAATGGGGGTATTTTACTGGGAGGGGAAGAAGGAGTGTTATACAAGCAACCATGGGGGTAAAGGGGAAAAAGGAGCTCAAGGGGAAGGAGAGTAATAGGAGATAGATATTATCAAGAATGAAATGGAGAAAATGGGGGTGCTTTAACTTGGGAGAGAGGAGGGCAGGCTACACAGGGGGAAAGATAGAAAAGATAAATAATGATCATCTGGTGTGAAAAACCAGAGGGAAATGTATTAGTTCAAAAGCCTACTGAAAAATATACATATAATATCTGTACATGAGTGTATGAGTATAGGTGAAGACTCTATAACAAGAACCATGGTGCCAGACAGGAGAAACCTCTCTTTAAGTTGTTGGTCAGGGTAGTCCAAGAGACTACCAAAATAACACAGGCTGTTGCCACAGCCCTTGATTTCCTCATAGAACTTGAAGGTAAGACCCTATTGCTGAAGACATGACATACTTCAGATTCAGGACTTGGAACAGTGGAGCTGGAACTGACCTGGAAGTCTTCTTCCAGGATACTATGCAAGCTGCTAAGGGAGAAAAATCAATCAGTGGTCTAGCATAGGAAGTGGCACTTTCATATTGGGGGTAATAACAGCTATCTAAAAACAAATATTTTAAAGAAGACGCATCAGTGCACCCACTTCAGAGCTGCCAGATCATCTGCAGAGGAGCTTATAGCAGAGAGGCGGCTCTCCCCCAGTGACCCAAGACCTTCACTAGCCCTTTCTCAGTTTCTACCACCTCCTACTTGATCCAAAATGGGGGCTCACTTTCAGCATATGGGCCAGTTTTGGTTTTGTTTCCTGTTCCTGTTTCCTGTTCTAAGTTGCAAAAGCAGTTTAGGGGAGAAGGGGTGTGTTTTCGCTCACAATGCCAGGTTATAGTCCAGAAGTTTAAGGCAGCAGGAGCTTAAAAGCAGTTGGTCACATAATATCCAGAGAACAGACAGGAATGAATTAACACATGCTAGTGCTCCTCAGTTCTTCAGTCCAGAGCTCTTGCCAGTGAAATGGTGCCTCCCACATTCAGGGTGGGTCTTCCCACCTCAGTTTGTAATCAGGATAGTCTCCCACGGACATTTTTTGAGGTCTATCTCTCAGGTGATTCTAAATTATGTTAAGGTGACAACTGTAACCATCACAGAGCTTGGGAGGATATCCCAGATCCAAATTCTTGCAGGGTACTTGAGAAAACCAAGTAGAACTCAGTGTGAGTGATACTATGTCACAGCCTTAGGAATGCAGAGCTCATAAGACTCTACCTGCAGCAGCAGAATCTCACTATGTATATAGACCAGGCTGGCCCCAAGCTCATGATCCCTTTACCTCAGCTTCTAGAATGCTAGAGAAATCTAGCTTTCAATTTTTTAAAAAACAAATAGAAATCAAAATGAAATTTTAATTAAGGAGCAAGCTGTGTGCTGAAATTAAGTATAAAAATGCTAAAATAGAACCCAAGAGACCTAGGTTCTGACCCTTTACTCTGCTGGCAGACTTCTGGCTAGTCTTTCCATTTGGGTCTTTGTTTTCTTTGCTGAAAAAGTAGGAAAATTATGGTAGAAATTTCCAAGGGGCCGTCAGGCCCTTATATGTCTTAATGTACTGAGGTTTCTAGAAAGCTATGATTTTCCAAACAGTGCTATGAATAGCACTGTTCCATAGATAAGATCCAAAGGCTGGGGCTTATCCAACCCATAGCAGTACCCAGCATACTGCCAGACATTGTGGTGACGCAGTAACACTCAGCACCTGGAAGACCTGCAGGATGTTGGGTACACAGGAAGTAGATACACACAAGTTAATGTTATGTGCCAAAGTGCGTGTGTGGACAGTAATTTCTAGAGGAACTCTGAGCATAGATTTCTGTGGTAGCAGATGCTAGGAGAGGTTCAAACACATATCTGTCCTGTTCTGACCCCTACTGCATCTCATGTTATGCTACAGACCACAAAATGTGTTTCCTGGGTGTTTTGCTGTTACCCCATGTTATTTACACTTACCTCTTTTCTAAGTTTGGACTTACTCTATAATTTAAGTTGTTATGTGAATAGATGGTAAATTAATCTTAGATTTACTTGATGTTTTCTGCTTTTCTCACATTCTCTCTTGATCTTTCCTCTCCAAGCAACTCCAGCTGAAAAAAGGAAGGGTGGGCAGGAGGTGGACTCTGGCATTCCACTTCTAAGTGTATCTGATCCTTTCATTCCTCTTCAAGTACCTGATGCACCAGGTAGGTACATAGGACTCATCTTAGGGTAAAGCAGCTTGAGTCTTATGTCTCAGGGCCTCTAAAGAATTCTGTTTTAAGTATCCATGACAAGGGCCTGAGTAAAGTCCTAATAATTGGTTGCTATTGTATATCTTGTTTCTTAGTAAGAGAGAAACTTATCTTGGTGGATACTAGCCCTTAGCAAAGATAATACTTCAGGTTATAACACATGTTCTCCATATCACACACATGGTCTATGTTTCACCCTTTTAAATAAAGTTGTTGTTAGTTTTTTGAGACAAGGTTTCATTGAGGCCAAGCTGACCTTGAACTTGCTATGTAGCCAACGATGATCTTGAACTACTGGTCTTCCTGCCTTTACATCCCAGGTGCTGTAGTTACAGGCAAACACTATCACATCTGGTTTGTTTTCATTCTTCATTGTGTTTATGGCAATTTGGAGGGGTCTGTGTATGGCAAAGAACATTAGTCCAATATGATTGTAATATGGGAATGGAACCCGTAAACCTACCATTAAAAGAGCAGAAGGTACACAGTGGCTATGTGTGCTGATAGAGCTGAACAGCTGGCAGCCTGTCCAGTTCCTCAGTACATAACGAAGGTTGACAGGGAATATGAGTCAGGAGACCTAAGTTTCCTTCCAGGTTCTGCCACTACCTGAAACCCTCCTAAGCCGGGTTCCTCATCAGCAAAGGCAGTGGATGCTGGAGTTCCAGTATTCCTTCTAGGTGCCCTATTCCTGGTTCTTAGGGAGCAGTATAGAACAGTATAGAAAGTAAGAGCTGTTTAGTAAGTCCCACTGGAATAGCTTTTTTTTAAAAAAAAAATATTATTTTTATTTTGTGTGTATGAGTGTATTGCCTGCATGTATGTAAGTGCACCTGTGCCCGTACAGTGCTCTCAGAGATCAGAAGAGAGCGTTGGCTTTCCATAGCCCTGGAGTTATGGACAGTTGTCAGCCACCTTGGTGCTGGGATTTGAACTCGGGTCCTCTGCAAGAGACTCTGAATATTTGGCAGATCAGATGGATAGATGAATTGAAACCTGAGGCTGGACACCTCCATTTCTGTCCCCAACTCCCAGACCTTAGACTGATGTTCACAGCCTCCCACATCTCTGCTTGTGACAGTCCCATCTGTGCCTGTGACAGTCCCCACCTGACCATCCACCCATGCTGAAAGTGACTAAAGAAGGCACAGCCCACAATACCAGCAAGTTACTTTACCCTGGTGAAAGAAATGACAAGATTCAGCGGACCCTTATCTCCATCCTTCCATTGTACCCTCCAGAATCAAGCCATTCAGTCCCTAGCACATCAGTCACCCGCTCCTTCAAAGCCCTCTCATTTTCTTTTAGCGACTGGCATGCATTAATAAGCAAAGGCTCAGGAGTCAGTGTCTAGGACCTGGACCAATACTAGTGTGTGCTGTTGGTTACACCTTGAGCCCACTTTGAACAACAGGCAGATTTGGGAGTTTGCTCACCTTCCATGCTCTGCTGTCCCGTGGTGAGAATTTGGAATCTTAGTGTGTGGAAGCCATTCCTTTCAAGTGACTTTTCTCTGACATGTAATCTGTAATTCCCCCTTGATCTGTAGATCTCCTGAGTAGTGAGCAGTAGAGATGGCAGGTCAAGTCCTTATGTGTAGGGTAGCAAGTGAGGCCTTCCCCCTGTTTTTCAAGCTGGCACACCTTCCTCTTCCTTGCCACATCACCCAAGTCATGGGCATTACTTTTTTTTTTTTTTTTGTCCTCTTGAGACAGGGTTTCCCTGTAGCCCTGCTGACCTGGAACTCACAGAGATCCTCCTGCCTCTGCCTCCCAAAGTGCTAGGATTAAAGGCATGCGTCACTATGCCTGGCTATGGACATTACTTTTGTCTTGGCTACTTTCAGATCAATAAAGCCTTCCACTGGAGAACTCAGTTTAAGTTTAGGGAGATTAATAAAAAGTAGATTTGCCAGGCATGGTGGCGCACGCCTTTAATTCCAGCACTCGGGAGGCAGAGGCAGTAGGATCTCTCTGAGATCGAGGTCAGCCAGGTCTATATAGTGAGTCCCAGGCCAGCTGGGGCTACAGGGAGATCCTGTCTCAAAAAAAAACTCAGAAAACCTTTATTGTTGCTGTGTAGTGGATGGATGAATGTGATCAGATCACTTGAACTCTCTTTTCTTATTCTTTTTTTGTATATATTATTTTTATGTGTATGAATTTATTGCCTTCATGCATCTAAGTACACAGAGTCATGCAATGTCCTCGGAGGTCAGAAGAGTATATTGGATTCCCCTGGAACTGGAGTTACAGATGGTTGTTAGCCACTATGTGGGTGCTGAGAATCAAACCTGTGTCTTTTGCAAGAGCAGCCAGTGCTCTTAACCAGTAAGCCATCTCTCCATCCCCTTCTGTTCTCATTCTTGAAACTAAATATTCAAGCTTTCTTTGTGGAGTAGGAATGAGATTCTAATGAAATTGTGTATTTGGAATTGCTGTGTAAACTTTAAATGACATAACAATGGGGAATGCTGGGTGTGGTGGTGCACACCTTTTGTCCCAGCACTTGGGACGCAAAGGCAGGCAGATCTCTGGGAGTTTGAGGTCAGCCTGGTCTACATAGTAAGTTCTAGGCCAGCTGGAGCTGCAGGGAGACCCTGTCTCAAAAAGACAAAAAAAAGGAGGCGGGGGGAATGCTGTTACAGTTTTGGTTCTAGTTCCGTACTCCCAATGGGACAGCCTAATTACGAAGTAATATTTTTCCATTGTTAAACTTGCTCTTGTAACCTATCACTTTTACTGAACTGAGAGCCATTGAAATAGGTTGTGGATTGACAGACTATAGATGAAAGGGTACTGGATAATTGTGGTTTGTTTGTTGTAGGACTGTTTGGGGAAAGTCTGGGAATATTAAAAAGTGAGTCCTGGTCTCCTGTATTCCAGCTGTCACATGGCTGATAAATCTTTGAAAGCTCATCACTGGTTCCCAAATGCCACTGATTCCTTTATTTTGCCTTCTCTTTACATTAGGGAAGAAATAAGGTGTCGGTGGTGCCAGCTCATTTAAATACCATGGGGACACTGGGTATTTTTCCCTGAAAATAGCTGAACAGATGTTTGTTGTTGTTTGATTTTGAAACAAGGTCTCCCTGGCCTGGAACTTGCTGGGTTGATCAGGCTGGCTTCTGTCTCACAGAGATCCACCTACCTCTGCTTCGTGAGTGCTAGACTTAAAGATGTGTACCACTAGGGCCACATAAACAGATTTTTAATCAATTATTTCTTCATTTTTATTTATTTATTTTTTATGTGTATGAGTGCATTGCCTTCATGTATGTGAGTTCACCTGTGTCATGCAATGTCACAGAGGTCAGAAGAGGGCATTGGATTCCCCTGGAACTGGAGTTAAGGATGGTTCGTAGCTGCCATGTGGGTGCTGGGGATTGAACCCAGGTCCTCTGCAAAAGCAATCAGTGCCCTTAACTTCTGAACCTTCTCTCCAGCCCCTGTTTCTTCATTTTTTTAAAAAAATTTAAGTCAAATTTACCATTTTTAAGTGTACAGTTGAATGACATCAACCATCTTTATCCTCCTCACAGTTTTTTCACCATGCCAGACTAAAAGCCTATACCCAGTAAACAATAACTTTTCCCTATTCCACACCCCTGCAACCTCCATTTTGCTTTCTGTCTTCTGGATTTGATCACCCCAGGAACCACATCATATAGGAGAAATCCTATGGTATTTCAGCTTTTGTGGCTTGCCTGTTTTACTTTGCACAGTTGTATATCTGAGAATTTTGGGGGTTTTTTTTGTTGTTGTTGTTGTGTGTATGGGAGGGTTTCACTGTAGTCCCCTGCTGGCCTGGAACTCATTATATAGACCAGGATGGCCTGGGTCTCACAGTGATCCATCTGCCTCTGCTGGGACTAAAGGTATGCACCACCACACCTGGCTAATTTTCTTAATTTTTAAGGTTACTGTTGTACTTTCTGGAAGACCACATGCTGCTTGTCTGGTTTTCCTTTGATGGACACTTGGACTGCTTCCCTCTGGTGATTATGAATAACGCTACTACAAACACAGTGCAGATGGGGCTGGAGAGATGGCTGAGCTGTTAAGAGCACTGGCCACTCTTGCAGAGGACCAAGGTTTGATTCCCAGCACCCACATGGCAGCTAACTAACTGCTTTAACTCCATTTCCGGGGGATCTGGCATACTTTCTGACCTCCATAGGCATTGCATGACACAGATGCACTTACATACGTAAAAGCAATACACTCATACACATTTATAAAAATTTAAAAAAAAACTGCAGATATGTTTGTGACCATGCTTTCTTCTTTTGACTGGATCATGTGGCAATTCTGTTTTTGTTTTTGAGAAACTATCATGCTGTGTTTCACAGAATTTCTTTTTATACCCCCCCCAAACAGTGCCCAAGGGTTTGGGAAAAAAAATTCTGACATCTCTTAGCTCTGATCACTTAATATCAGAGTTCCAGGAGACTAAAGGAGTATGCTTTAGCTGCCCCACAAGTGCTACTTCCTGGAATTGGAGGCTTATCTCAAAAGCACTCCATCATCTCTTGATAAAGGCAGCCTGAGGAGCTGGTTGTATCAGAACAGGCAAGTCCTCTCCCCTGTTTATCTGATATCTTCCTCATTTCTAGCTGCTTGTGATACTGAAAAGTTCAGAGTCTGTCATAGTAAGTGCCTTTCTCTAGAAACTTTGTCCTATAGATTTAATTCTCTAAAGCAGATTGGGATTGGGGCATGGTGTTTGGCTTCATTCCAGCTTGTAGATGCCACAGGGAGCTACTAGGTTTTATTTTCTATTTTTATTTCATTTTTGTTTTTTTGAGAGATTTTCTGTAGTCCAGGCTGGCCTTGAGCTACTACTGATCTTTCTGCCTCTACCTCCCAAGAGCCTGGCTCTATTTTTATTCTTAATTGACAGTAATTACAGATATCTACTGGGTTCAGTATGTATATGACATTTCAGTTCAT